AATGAGTGTTGAATTGAGTTATTTGATATATTTATACTGGTTACTTTTTTTTCCTCAAATAATTGAGATTTTGTTTAAATTTTATATCAATAGATAATATAATGGAACATGCAAATGTGAAAAGTTCATTTAGTTCAAGATACTCTAAGTATGTCACTCCTAGCTTTTAAACGCATTTCATACATTTGAGTTACTTACTAACTTAGGCATCTAAGAGTCGACCCCCAAAGCTCCCTTCAGGTATCCGACTTCTTTTTTAGATGATAAAAGTCCAACAAATTGACGTGGAAGTCATCCAAATTTTAGCATCAATAGTACTAATTATAATTTTTTAAAGAAAAAATAGGATTTTTATTTTTGATTTTATTTCAATAAATGACAAAATAGAATATGAATTATAGTTGTAAAATTTAAAATATTTGATATTTATCTTTAGTCTAAGTATAATATTTTAAAGTATTTTTAGTATAAATATAATATTTTAAACTTGGGGGTTTAAATATTGCATGCTTTAATTTTTAGGGACTTTGATGTAATTTACTAACAAACATTAACTGCGGGTCTATATGTTACGTGCATATAAACTTTAAGAGGTATGTGTATAATATTTTAAATATTAAAAGGTTTAAATGATTAAATGACAAATTTCAAAAAAAATGAGTATAATTTTCCCCATATTTTAATAATCACACGTTTCATGTCATTTGATAACCATTACATCTATATTTATCTGTACTACTAATAAAAGTATTTTAGATGAAAAATTTTTGGATCTTTATTTTACCCTTATAAAAGATTGTAAAGACTACTCTATCCTTTCACAATTAAATATATAAATTACTATCATATGCTTATATATTTAAATCTCCAAAATAACCATAACATCTGTTTGAATTATTTATTCTTTATGTATAAATATTTTTTTTGGAAGAATTACACCTAGATCCTGTTGATGTTTGTCACTTAATCACTTAGACCCCTTGATATTTAAAATATTATATATAGACCCCCTGATATTTGTACGTGCATAATACTTAGACCCCTGCTGTAAATATATCTATTAATAAATTATACTTAGACTCCCATGAAGTTTGTAGATATATAATACTTAGACCTCTTAAATTTAAAATATTATACTTAAACAAAAAATACTCCAATCAAATATAGAATATCAAATATTTTAAATTTTACAATGAAAATTTATGTTCTATTGTACCATTTATTGAAATAAAATTAAAAATAAAAATTCAATTTTTTCTTAAAAAATCATAATAAGTTTACAATTATATTGTCTATTAGAATTTAATTTGGTCGTTTAAACAATCAAATTAAATACTAAACTACCCCAATTAAAGCTAAAAGATAGTGTTCATTACAATTTGACCTCTTGTTTAATTTTTTAGTTGTATTTTAATAGATAGTATAATTATATACTAACTATGATTTTGTTTAAAAAAAACTAGACTTTTATTTTTGATTTTATTTCAATAAATGAAATAATAGAACATGAATTTTAGATGTAAAATTCATGTTCTATTATGAATGACTTAGACCCCTTATTTGATTTTTTTGTTTTATTCTAATAGATAGTATAATTGTATACTAATTATGATTTTTAAGAAAAAATGAATTTTTTTTAAAATTATATTTCAATAAATGATACAATAGAACATGAATTTTCATTGTAAAATTTAAAATATTTGATATTCTATATTTGATTAGAATATTTTTTGTCTAAGTATAATATTTTAAACTTAAGGGATTTAAGTATTATATACTTACAAACTTCATGGGAGTCTAAGTGTAATTTATTAATAGATATATTTACAGTAGGGGTCTAAGTGTTATGCACGTACAAACCTTAGACGGTCTATGTATAATATTTTAAAAGTCAGGGGATCTGAGTGATTAAATGACAAACCTCAGGGGATTCAAGTGTAATTCTCCCTTTATTTTTTGATTAACTATATAACTCTTAAAAAATATGCATCATTATATTTTCAATAAATTGTTCGAAAAAACTTCAAACACTCTATCTTTCTAATATTACTCATCATATATATATATATATATATTATTTTTTATGGAAAAGTTGAACCTTTTCATTTTTAAGATAAAAAATAATCGTATATATAATTTTTTAAAATCAATTTATGCTATATCAATATAATTTTTCAGTCACAATAAATTTTAAGATAAATTATAATGACACTTATGTAAATTATTCTAATTACAATGACACCTCCTCAATTTTTTGAAATTACACTGATACCCGAAGTGAGGTCTTGTCCCTTAACAAATATAAAAAAAATATATATAATTTTTCATAATTATCCTTACCATACATACATCATTTTTTACTTATCATATTCTCATATTATTAAATACTAATAAATGAGCCATTTTTGGATTCAACCTGTCAAACTTGAAATTGATACGATTAACTTGTTTTATTTAATCGTGTCGAATTTCTCTATTTTTCTGTTTGTATGTTGATACGAACAACACGGAATTGCAATGATCCATATGTTTAACTGATATTATAAAAATAAAATATTTTTTATTTGTTGTTGTTTATTAAACACTAACATAATTATTGTATAAAAAGATATTTTTATTTGTTATTATTGTTATGTTTATTAAGTTAATTTTTAGTTTATAGGAAAAGTATGAGAATGCATTCGGTTAAGTAAAAATAGAATCTCAGATTTAAATTTTAACGTTAAATTTTTTTATTTAAAGGTTATATGAGTCAACACGAATATGAACACCCCTACGCAGATAATCTAGCGGTGTGGAGTTGAACCCAAATAAATCGTAGACTCGGACGTCAGGGTTTTAACTTTCACTGGTGTCTCTTGGACTTAAATGATACATGTGATTTGCGGATAATTACAGGTATCCGGGGTTTACTCTTGCAAGAATGAGTTCAAAGTGGCCTTACCTTGGAGAGGTTCCACGATATAAAAAAAAAAAGAAACATAAATGCGAACATGAATACGATACAAAAATAAATAGATTAGCCTAATTTTATCCATGAGTAATATGAGTATTAAAGTACAAAAGTTGATGATATAATCACTTTTTTGACATTGTCAATAACGATGCTAACAATAGGAATATTTTGTGAAATGAGTAGGTAAACAGTAAAGGACATCAGTGTAATTTCAAAAAATTAAAGGGGCGTCTCTGTAATTAGATCAATCTGCAGGGATGTCAGTATAATTTACCCTAAACTTTATAAGTTGTACTAAGTTTTATTTAATAAAAATAAATATCATAGTGTATTTTTAAGTAAAACTTAAATTTTTTATAATTTTAAGATATTTGATAATACAAATTGTAGAATATTATATTAAATTTTATTCCAATTGACCTAAATTATTTTTAATTGTAGTAAGGTTCCAATGTGATTAGTATATTAACAATTACTTTTATTTTATTCAAAGAATTATAATTGAAATCCTAATCAAATGAATTCCAAAAAATTTGATTTTTCAAACATCACTAAAAAAATTAATTTTAATCATAAAATTCTAAAAATATAGGACTTTAACTATTGTTTTTATTTTTTTATAGTTAGAGCAAAGAATTTTGGGAATATATAAAATTTTCATAATTTTACAATAAAATATGAGCAATAAAAAATTAAAATTTGTAAATTTTAGATGATATTTAATTTAAATACATATATACCTAATATATTTTATTAATTTTTGTGTACAAAAATTATTCACATGCAATGTACGTAGTGCATTCCTAGTGTAAATGAAGGTGGTTCACTTCATTCATTTTAGGAAAAAATTCGGCCACATCTTTTCTAGTTTATCATATTTTTAATGACGCCCTTTCAATTTTTTGAATCTTCACTCACACTCCTATCAGATTAAAGGTGTTAATTAGAATGTAATTTCACTAAATTATCCATGATAATATATTTGAGGAAAAATTTCATTCACACTTCCTCTAGATAGATATATCTTAAATGAGACCCCTTCTGTTTCTTAAATTTTTTTTATGTATTAAAATTCGGGCAAATTAAAATTCGATTTAAATTAATTAATTTTTTTTTACATATTAAAATTTGAATCGATTAAAATTTATATTTTTTATATATTAAAATTCTATTTGAATTGATTAAAAAATATTTTTAATCAGCTCAAATCAAATTTTAATTTACTCGTATGGGGTTCAAATTTTGATACATAAAAAAATATAAATTTTAATCGACTCAAATTTTAATACGTAAAAAATAAATTTGAATCAATTTTTAATTGGTGCAAATTTTAATAAGTAAAAAAATATAAAATTTAATCGATTCAAAGCGAATTTTAATCGGTGCTAACATATTAGGTAGAACTCAAATCGCCTTGAATTTTAATACGTAAAAAAATAAAATTTAATTAGGCAAAATTGAATTTTAATCAACTCAAATTTTAATGTATAGAAAAAATAAGTTTTAATTAGTTTGAATTTTAATATGTAAAAAAATAAATTTTAATTCATTCAAATTTTAATCAAATTTTATATAGAAAGATTATTTAATGTTTATGTAGGAGTATTTTTAATATTTTAGATTAAAAAAATTGTTAGAAATAGTAGTTTAATGGTAAAAGGTATCAATAATATTTAAATATAAATTAAAAAAAGTGTCGATAATATTTTTGATAATAGAAGAGTCTCCTTAAAAATATGATAAATTAAAAAAACCATGGCTGAAAATTTCTCTTTATTTTATTTTATTTTTATTTAATGATAAGATCATTTTGGTAACGTGATTTCATCGTGGCCCAATCAGTGAATTTATTGATGAGTATTACTATTGGGACTTAAAAATTTAACATAATTTATTGACATAATGATGTGATTTTATTGTAACTTTTGAATTATATGTGGATTTCATTAAATATTAAAATTTAATATTAATATAATAATTTTAATAAAATTATATCATTATATTAACAGATTATGTTAAAATTTTAAGTCCTAAAAGCATTATTCTTGATTGATTGGTAACTCTGACTCACTTGACCACAACCTCACCTCATAGAATTCCCAACGTTTTCTCCCTCCCACTGGCCATCACTTTCATCCAAAATACTGATCGGTGTTGATACCCAAATCGACTCAAAAATCTCCAATCTTTTTGAAAGATGGCTGAAAGTGGAGCGGTGTATGAATCATCAGCAGAGTCGAAGTCGTTCTTTAGGAGGCACTGGGAAGGCTACAAAGAGTTCTGGAGCGAGAGATTCTCCATTTTGGATAACTATTCGAGGTTTGTCAAAAGAGAGAAGCCTCTCCCTTCTTGGTCTGACTCTGATGTAGAGGAGTTCATCGCCTCTGACCCAGTTCATGGCCCCACAGTATCCACTCTCTCTCTCTCTCTCTCTCTCTCTCTCTCTCTACACATATATAGAGATATATTGATCGATATATGTATGTATGCGTGCGTAGATATGCTTTTATTTCAATGGCGTTCATTTCATTTTCTATGATCTGGGATTTCTTGATTTGGTCTAATATTCATGCTTTCATTCCATCTGAGTGTCGTTTGGTATCGTCTAATTTATTTTATCTGGGGTCATGTTCAATTTCATCTGTTATTCCACTTTGTTGATACAGAGATCGAAATTGTCGCGTTATTTTTCTTGTTTAGTTGGGATTTTGATTGGGTTTTTGGGGATATTTTGTATTTAAATACTAATCTGTTGCGCATTTCCTGTTACTTTGTTTCATTTTCATCTTGCACCTGCTTATTTTGGGATGGATTTGAGGAATGGTCATCTAGGTGAACCTTAGTTATGTGTATTGGAAGTTGATTATTGCTATTTATATTTGATACCTTTGACATAATTTATTTTTTCAAAAATGAAGGCGTTCCCAGTTGGTCATGGTGTCTGTTTATTAAGTGTATAATTGACTGCCCCTCTACCCCTCGTCCTCCTCCTCCTTCTCCTCCTCCTCTTGGTTCCAGTTTGAATATGTTTTGTTTAGGCACAATTTTTTTGGCTCCTCCATTTTCTGTTGTACACTGGTTTCTCGCTAATGGAAGCCAGAATTGTCTGAAGATTGGCCCTCAAAGGTAAGAAAGAATTAACATAGTTGTAGCCAAACGCTAAGTCAAATACATAAAGTCGGAAATTTGAATGTATAAGTTGTGTTGTGGTAGAGTGCCCCATCATTCAGTGTCCCTCGCTCATATTTCCTTAAATTGAAACCTTAAAATTTTCTGCTGGTGCTTCTTGAGGGTTAAATTGCATCTCACATGTCCAAGTTTAGTGGATCTATTTTTTGCTTGTAATTGACTAGAAAACATGTTGTTCATGTTATGTGAAGAGTTTATATTATTCTGGTTATAAGAAGCTAGCTAATTCCAATTTATATGTCAGGGAAAATTTTTCTTGCTTAACAAATTTTGACAACTCTTGGAGTGTAGGTTCTATAATGTTGATAATTGCTAGCATATGTTATTTTATACACACACACAAAGGAAAAAATATATTGAAACAAAAAAGAAGCAAGACCTATTAAATCTATTAAGTGGTTGGTAGTAGTGAAGATTAGAGTTAATGTGTGCTTGAGTTTTGTCTGAAATTGCTTCATGAATGTCAAAAGCTTTAGGAAAATCAGCGATACTATATCGTTGGTCTACAGATGCAAGCTTTGAATGATGCATTATAGACAAATTAGGATTTTGGTATCACCTATGTGAATCTTACTCTAAATCTTCGTAGATTTCTGGCTATGGATTTCCATGGTTTTCAATCTTTCAGGTTATAATTTCACAAGTTGCATGAGAGAAGCTAGAACTCCCATTAAGCGTCATTGAGATTCTAAGTAAAAACTATTTTCTGTCTCTCAAGTATTTTATCACCTTTTCCAACATAACTGTCAAGTCAATTGGATTTCGAGTTTTTTGCCGTTAAATGTCAACTTATACTTGGCATCGACCTTTATATATTTTTCTATATTTGACACGTTTATGCTCATCTACACCACAACGTATTATTCACAGGCTCCAAATTAATGAGTTGTGCATCTATTTTATGAATGATTGCAGACTGTAGTCTAGTATATTGTTTTTGATCAAGGCCATACTAACAACTATATTTCTAATTCTGCGTAAGATTTAAGCAGCTTCCTCAAACATGGACATGTATATCTATCTCATACTCAAGCAAAGCAAGCTACATATAACAGAGTCATGAAAGTTGGCAATAATGTTGATTATCGATTTAATATTTCTCTAATTCTTCTCTTATCCTTGGGAAATTGTGAGAGAGTGGGGACTGCTGGCCCTTCCTAGCTGCTGCTAATCTGTCTCAAAGACTTCTTCCCCTTTTTTATGGTGTCGATCTTTTAAATTAAAATTGAAAACATAATAAGATTTGGAGTGCTAATAAATTGAAAATTGAAAATTAAGCATGCTCGTGCTAGTTGACATATACAACCTCTCCATTTTTCTCCTTTCACTATGCAAGTTAATTATCCTTTTCACACTTTTCTGAGTACTTTTATTAAGGTTAAAACAGTGTGCATGTTGTAAATAGAGCATATATTACAGGGCTTGATCGCCAAAAGCATTTTAAATCCTTTTCCTAATAGCATCATATATATTTGTATGTCTTCCTTAAGACTCACATTGTATGAAAATTAGCTTTGGAAGGTATATTCTAACAGTAGTTTCTAAATTGTTAAGACTAGATTATTGTGACACCTAATTTATGCATCCAAAAAGGAAAAATAAAGCATGAAAGAAAAGATTTTTGGAACACTTATTATTTCAGATATGTTTTCTTTGCCAGTGAGAATCCTTTAAGTATGACATTTGTATCTAAATCTTTGCATGAGTGGGTTGTTGTTTTCTTGTTTGTTCTTTCTGAGGTTCAAAATTGAAATTGCCTACTTCAGAAAACAAAAATTACCATGTGTAGTGTGCTTTGATTCTGGTGGTCCAATTGCTTTTATCTTTCTTTGCACCTTCCTCTCCGTACATAATGTAGAGTGCTAATTTGTTCCTCTCCTTTTTTTCAGCTTAAGACTGCCCGTGAAGCAGCAAAATATGGTGCCCTCGGAAGCCTGATTGGAGCAGTTTCCACTGCGGGTTTTGCTTGGAAATATTCAAGGAGTCCCCATGGTATGTGTGGACTTGTTTCCATTGTTGTTTTGCTCTATGGTACTGAAAGTAGGATTTGTACAAACATAGCAGCAGATGGTAACTGTTTTTCAAATAGTGTTTGAATATGTTGATCTTTAATGGTTATCCTTTTTCTTAGTTTGCCTCTTGTTTCTGGAAAGCCTTCTGAGCGATGCATGCCATATTTACACATGCTTTTTTTGGAGAGTTTGGATATTTGGGACACAGCACAATGAAAGAATAAAGCATTTATTATGCATGTTTAATATACTTTAATATAAATGGAACTATGGTTAATTATCATTATTTCCCTTGGCAGGTGCTGCACTATCTTTTGGAGCAGGAGCTATATTTGGGTGGACATTTGGACAGGAAATTGGAAACCACAGCCTGCAACTTTACAGGTTGGATACCATGGCTTCTCAGGTTAAGTTCTTGGAATGGTGGCAGAGAAAAACAGGAGGGCAGTCTTAAATTAGCTTTCTCCGATTGCCAACCGAGACTTTCTTTCGTTTCTGCAAGAATAATCATCTGCATGAGTTGAAATTGTATTGCTTGATTCCATATGATTTGGTGCTTTTTATGTTAGGAAGCTTCCAATATGGATTTGCCTGCTTCTTGTTTCCCAGAGAATGGATATGATAGAACACGTGTTTTCTATGAAACATTTCTATACCCCGAAACCCACAAACTATTGGGACCTAATAATACATATGGAATATTGAATATTCACTATGGATGGGGATGTTATATTGCACATAAAAGTGGGGATGACCATCAACCCTACCCCTCCCATTCATATGCCAAGCCAAAAACTTCTACAACTGTTCAACAACAGCTTTAACATGACAATATATACAATGCTAATGCACCAAATTGTTATCTGCCGCACAACACTGGGGACAGATTTGCACTTTTTCAACACCCTGACTTTCAATTTGTAAGTCTTTAATGAGTTCCATGATATGGTACTTTTACTATCATCATTAGATGAATGAGTCTCATTAATGTTAAATGGTAGAAAAGGTGACCCAACTTGAAGTGGTGGATTTACAATAGAAAGTTGGTTAAGTGCAGCTTTATTGATATTGCTTTGACATTGCTTCCTCCCCCGTTCAGCTAAACATTTACACTTCTTCACCTGATAATGAGCAGAACAGAGTGACAACCCATTTATTATCACGAGATCATTATTTGCATCCAAATGGATGATTCTTTCAACCTGAATGTGCAATTCACCATCCTCCCTGTGAAGTTTCTTTAAGCATTCTGATCCCCCTAGCAGACTTACAAAAGGGGCATGAAGAAATCAACTAATCAAACAATTAATTAGGAGTAAAACTAAAATAATAAATAAATAAATAAGAAAATTTGTTGATGTGAACTTTCACCCACAGAACAAGATTCCGTGCAATTCCAGTACCAGATTCCACCCTCTTCCACTTCATGAAACCTTCAACTTGCATGCCATGCCGCTCCTTGCTCTGATGAGTTTGAGGATTACCCCCATCGGTCAGTTACAGGATTTTGCTTAATGCTGTTGCATTTGCTTGACCATGATGGCTCCCCGTCTTAACGGCCAATGAAGCCCAGCCAGTGGATGACTGCTAAAATTAGCATACATACTGCCAATATCATGCCAGCTCTACCCAGCAGCCAATTCTGTCTTGCAACTTCGAGTCTTCGTTGAATCCTGTCGGCCCATTTCATCTGCAACAACATTTTAACAATATTTTCAGGGGAAAGGAAATATTATGCATGCATGAATATGCATATACTGGAGATCAAGGATAATGCTAACCCATGATAAACTAGATCAATACAATCCTCATGTATGCACATCATTCAAGATCATGCTCTAACGGAGTATTTTCAACTAGAATCCCAACCCAAGCCTGAGGTACTCCACTGATATTTGTAATATCAATCGATTACTACATAATACTCCCACAAAAATCAGACACAAACAATTTAAGGAAGGCAAAGCATTTAATTGAAGAAATGGAAGTGTTCTTTCAGAAGGTTTGGAGAAAGAGAGACACATCGACTAGGTAATAAATAACATATCAAGTAGTTCACATAGGATGATAATAGGTAAGAAAGCATGCTTGTAAACTGTAATCGTGACCCGCATGGCTATTCCACACAATTTGCAATCAAATCCTCCAGTCCTGTTGGACGTACTGCATGTATGGGTAAAACTGCAGGCTCAGAGTAAATGAACAAACATAATGGGACAAATGAGTCAGGAATTAACAACCAGTTCTACACAACCAACTTATTGATCCATAATGTGTAACAGTAAGACGTCGTGGGAGGGAAGTAGACCTTAAAAATTAAAAAAGTCAGCATGATTTCCAGCCTAGTTCATGAAAAGTTTTCCACCAAGCCAACAAGGTTTTTACATTCATAATAGTACTAATCTCTTTCAGGTTTCGGCTTATAATTTAACCAAATACAACATACTAACTTTGATCTATTCTGACTTCATACATCTGAGAGTACCAACAACAGATCCATAATAATGTCTTCAGATGAATAAGACATTCACTGAGTACGTCTTTATTAAGGTCTACGACTTAAGTAGGAATAAAGAGCAACTAAACTTCTTAAAATAACCCTCCCCAGAGCCTCGTGCACTGGGTCATCTGCCTTCTTTCATTCTCATTAATTATTTATTTTTCACTTAAAAATTAACCTTTTGATGTTTTTGTTTGCTTTGATTTGCTGAAATTACTGTCAAACATGGCTTCATGTGACTTCATATTTTGGACCACTACGGGGATAAAAGATCATAAACAATTCTTATTGAAAAAAAAGATCATAACAAAAATCAGACAATTTTCCATAACTCTGAAAGAAGCAACCTTTAACATGTTATGAATATTTCTGCAGTCAGGAATAAAAAAAAAAAACCAAATTCAAAATAACAACAATGACAATGACTTCAACATTTATTTACTTACGTAGTCAATTTTCTAATTACAGAAAATTTAGTAATAATTACCAATAAACATCAGTGTGAATGCCTATTGACATACAAGATTGCGACATCAAATTTATATATTAGGAAAGGCTGAATATAAATATGGTGAACTTCATATGTGGTGTAGATTAGGAAGGTACCATTCTATCCAAGTCGCCTGGTGACATGACTTGTTGAGCTTTTTCCGCATCCTCCCGCAAAAGCTTAAATCCAAATTGTTCGCTCATGTTTGCCATCATGTCGGGGCTCATATTTTTAATCATTGACAAGAACACCTGCAATTTCCAAGAAATCAAATTTTGGGATAACTAAGCAAATAAATGCACAATTCTTTCCACCAAAAAACGCATTGGGATTCCATGAAACAAAGATCATTCCATGGTGTATTATCAGTTTGACAAATGAGGAGTCATCACAAAAAAATTGTCACAAGTGACAAGAAGATATGTGGATTATGTAACTCTTCAAGTAATTAAAGATATTCGACTCAGCATGCAAGCTCAAGTCATTTCAGATGTCACGAAAGACAATTGACAGGATTGAAAAGTTGAGCCAAGAATGACAGAATAAGTTCATTTACATGAGAGCCGGGAAATTCCCTGAATCTGACTCCCATGGTTCATTGTCATGTCCTTTGGTATGTTACCTTGGATTTAAGATAAATATTGATACGTAACCATAACTATATAGAACATCTCCCCCTCCTCCCCACACACACGCACACACAGAGGAACAAAAACACAAAAGCTAAAAAGGGGAATAGGGGATTATCAAACAAGGACTCCCAGCTGAATACCTGCTGCATGGCTGGATCTTTCATTTCGTTACTCAATTTTTCTTGCAGATCAGAACTTGATCTTGGCAAGCTTGACTGAGGAGCACTTCTTGAATTCAAAAATCCTTGAGAATTACTTTCAACAAAACTATCTCCATTAACTACAAAATTTCCCTGAGTTTCTAACGCTTTTGGCCCATTAGAGTGCAAAGAAGCTGCTGCTGCAGATCCTGAAACTTTTTCTTTCAGCGATGATGTAATTTCAAACATTTTCTGAAGTTCTTCCGGTGACATCTTACTCATCATATCAGTTGCGGTTGAAGCATGTCAGGTGTCACATCTGGTGGAACCGAACCAGGACTAAAGCTGTCAAAATTAGAGCCTATGGAACTTCTCTTCAAATGTGGGTTTTCCCCTTCAAAAGAGGAAGCCATTTGTACCATTCTTTGAAGTTCTTCAGGTGACATCTTACTAATCATATTTGAGGCAGTCTTCACCATATCAGGAGATATCCCTTCAGCTTTTCCACCACTTCAGAGAAGCCAGAGTTTCTGGATCAGCGTGAGAAATAAAATTTTGGAAGGATCTATACAATTCACCAGGAGAAAAAAAGTGCAATGAGGATTAACTGAAATTTTTTTCTAGTATTCAAAAATTAAGTATCAAAAAGACTACTAAACAAGCTTACCAAAAAGAAGAGGAAAGTGGAGGAAGAAGAAAGGAAGAAAGTAAGAAAGAAGCAGCGGCAAAAAAACATTGCACAAACAAAGTCCAGTAATACAAGACTGTTCACTGTTATCAACAGCATATTATCAAACATCTAAGGTTTCATGGCATGGGTACTGCCTTGCAGTCACAGCCTCTTAGATGTAAAAAAATTAAAATTAGAAAAAAATAGCACACACCTAAGCAGACATAGAGAGAGGGTCACCAAACATGGTTGTCCATCGTACTGAATATATTTTAGAGGGACATCTTTTTTCCCTCTAAAATACATGGAACCCTGTACATGTTTAAGAAGATTGCAGAAACTTCAGTTACAGAAAAGCAAATGTCTACACTCTTCAATGCCTTCCAATTTAACTTTGTGAACATCAAGTAAATTGAGTAATTAACGACTAAAATGCCTAATGAAATGCTCAAAAGGTTACACAAACACGGCTAATGTCAATTAGACAATATCAAGCTGGAAAATAAAAGATAGAATTGAATACAAGATGCACAAATGGATATGGTAAGTCATATAGGGAGAAAAGATGATTTTTGTTTCAATCTTTTGAAACCAAGAAGAGCGGACATGGAGACAAGTCTTAAAAATTGCTACAAACCACAAAATCATTTTTCCTCATGCGTGCCACTTTAATGTACACAGAACAACGCACCATGATTGTCACTCTTTGCCTTCTTTCTTCTCTATTGCGAATGCTTGTGCTTATGCATGCCTCTAATGGACACTGACCACTGACATAACTACTTCTACTCACAAAGACACCGCCCACAAGAATAAAAGAGGAAGCAGAAATAAGAATGCCTCCATATCCAGTTCATGACTTCATGTGACCCAGTCATTGAGATAGAATTAGAGAAAAAGGAAACAAACAAGCATATTTATAATGCAGCAAAGAAATTAATTATTCTGAATGAAAAACAGGGCAGTGAACAAAATCTCTTATGGATACAAACAAAACTGATAGAATCTGGGTCATCTTTTAAAGCCTGAAAACACTCTGAACTAGACGATGGAACCCCAGTGGGGATCTTAATTTGACCTCTAGAGCAGCCACTGGTTTCTTGGGGTCATGATACAGGATGTTCCGTAGGTGAACTTTCACAATTCTCAGATGAAGCAGTCTGGACTTCATCTGTTATTTCTTCAATAACTAACCGTATTAAAAAAAAGGTTTCAAAACATGAGAAAAGTAACATACATGCACCACAAGCTTTGGGAATTTAGGCTGTTTAGCAGTAAAGAACAAGAAACGGAGAAGAAAGGACCAACTTAAATGACATAAAAAACATACCTCTCGAAGCAAGCTCACTACCTTCTTCCGTCAATCTTTGCTTAGCACCTCTGTATCCAAAAAGAAACATCACACAACATGCCAAAGGAAGAACCTACCATTTATATGCTATTAATGTATCAAATAAAAGCAAAAAGATGAGGTCGTAAGGGTAAAAGTAGGAGTAAGACAAATTAAATAAACCTATTATTGAAATATGCAGATAATGCATGTGGATGGATATGCTAAATGTAAAAGGAACAGTTGCATTGGCCACAAATAGAACAGTATGAATTTTACCTTGAGAAATAAACGCTTGATCCATTCAAATCTAAGAATGGTTGATAACCGACATGCTAAGTGTTACTCTTTTTACTGGAGGTGCACACTTGAACTTCTTAACAAGGAGGTTCCTTGGGAAGACTTATGGAACAAGATCTCTTTCATGGCATCTCTTTGGGTGTCTAGGTCCTAAGAATTTGAAGGGATTCCATTGTTTTTAATTAAAGATCATTGGACTCGAGTGTGTGACTAGTGCTGCCGCACTATTGCCTTTTCTCTTCATTTTTTATTTATATTTGTTTCTAGCCAATGTAGGCACATAAACCCTTCTATGTTTTTTCGTATTTTCATGAGGACTCCTTGTCCTCTCATGAATGCTTTATTTTTTATTTACTAATATTCTCTCGTTTCCTATCAAAATTCAACGATTGACTGTTCCACTGGCATATAGCTCTTATGAAAGAACCAATATGCATGTGCGTGGCACAAGTGTATGGCATAGACTAGAAATCCTCAGCTGCATTCAACTTAAAATCCATACGTTAAGATATCCGCAATAGTTTCATCATCAAGAGAAATTTTATGTGCTTTGCTCAAGTCAGATACTGCATCATAACAAATTTCTGAAAACCGATCAGATAACATAAGATTTAAAAACAGATGCAGAGATTAACATCCTTAAGAAGAACAATCCTGCAACCACAGTCAAAACTCATAAAACTGGGTGAACAGTCACTTCTAGTTGTCCTATTTCTTTATATGCTTGACCCCTCCGGTAAAGGGCTTTGACATTCTTTGCATCAAGTGCCAAGACTTGTAGCAATCCAGATTAATAATTAGCCACCACTAAAAATAAATAAATAAGTTCTCTTCAGTCGTCTAATTTCCATGATATATTTAACAAAGGTTTTTTACTGTCTACTTTCTTTAATTTGCTTCTAGTTTCAATTTCAGATGACTAAATTGAGACATTATGGTTTTATTTTTAGTACATAACATATACTGAAACCAGAAACAAAATTTAAGTTGTCCATACCTTGGTACCTTCTTTTATGCACTCATCATACTGCCTTGTTTTCAGGTAACATGACATCATATTAAGAGAGCATGCCATCCGGAGACTTCTACCTTTGGAAGCTGGAATGCCTTTTAGATTTGTCTTTGCCTAAGATTTTTTTTTTTTTGGAAAAAATAACATAAATTTCATATTGCAGAGGCTAAAATCTATATTCAAGAGAACCCACATATGAAACATAAAGGTGGAAATAAACAAAACTGCTACACTTACAAGCAAATATTTTTGCAAGGCATCACTAAACCTTCCCTGGCTGTGAAGTTCATTCCCCTGCCATAACATAAAATGGACCCATAAGTCAATGTCAGGCGCCAATTTATAACTAAAGTTCAGTCACATGAATGCAAATGAGTTATTAAAAGTGAGGGAAAATGTTACCAAGTAAATGTACATCTTAGCTATATTTCAAGAAATTTAACTTCCACCACTGATTTGTGGACATTTGCAACTCATTTCTATATCATCACAAATATTTTGTGCTAATCTAGATACAAATAGTCACATGTGATGCATCACTTTAAGATTTTGACATCTTTTCCTACCAGAAAAGGAAATCCAACTGTAATACTGTGATGCAAATATAACAAAAATCAAAGGAAATCTTGACGTAGAAAACTATAAGAATGCAAAGTCAGGATTAGAAATCACGGCCAAATTTTTAAATATCAAAATCCACATTGAATAACATATAGAAAATCATGACAAAAATATAATACAAAACAAATTGCTTGCTCAATGCGCCAAAAGAGAATAACACTCATTATAAATTAGGTCAGTTGTAGCTTAGCTTTCAAAGATCCTATGTAACATTACCAATTCTTGAGTTTGGTTAATAATCCCACTAAAGTTATGTCCTTAAAGATCACAATTAAAAAGGCACAACTTCTGTTCCTAAAGAAGGCATCATAAATTCTATTCAAGCACAACATGTCATTTCTCTCAAATTTAAGGTTACATCCATCTAGAAAGTAAATGCAAAAGACCGATTTGAATATCTTCTTACAATCTGCTTATATATTTAATGTTTTAGATGAGGTCATATTCGTTTTAGCCGATTAGAGTTTATGGTTTTCAACAATATTTCTACAAATAACCCAAATTAATCATATAATTGTGTAAAATATGTAAACAACATATATTTATTATCCTATTTAGCCACATCTGCATCCGCATCTTATTTTCTTATATTTTGTCAAATTCCTGTATTTATATCCATGCTTCCTAAGTGAGCAGACCACTATTAATCCAATGCTTCAGAAACTTCTTCCCCACAAAAAACCCACTCGAAAACACAAGAGGACAAAGGGCACTACAACATCAAAATTACGGTTTGGAGGATGACCCTGATAAGACCGGTTAAGGAAAGATCATCCTTCACAGTAACAGAAGATTTGAGGTATCTTTGAATGCAAAAATACTATGAACATCCAGAAGATAAAGTGGAGACAAAATAAAGAAAGTAGATTAAATATTGTATGAAATCGTAATATGAGAACAGTAAGTGAGCATATTTATAGCCCAGAACAAACACATGTTTATGTTGTGACTTTTGGGTAAGCAAATGTATTAAAATTATGACTTTGCAAGCTGATGACATAACTGGTTCTTCAGCATTTGAGCTGCGTTTACTTCATAAGTAATCTGCACATCTGCATGGGCACACATAGCATCTACCTCTTCAGCTGTTGCATTGGCCATCTTCTCACCAATCTCAGCCATTTCCTCTGGACGAGTTCTGCAGCATTTCTCAAGTTTTCAGGCCTCATGTTTTTCATGCTTTCCGAAGCCATTCTCATCAATTCAGGATTAGACATCATCTGCCATGTCAACCGTAGATCAGGACAATAAATACCATTCCACTGGAAGAAACACAGAACGAACAGATAGATGGAAATTCACAAAGTCCATGAAAGTCTGAGCAATTTTTTTATTTTTTGAATGCATCATTAGTGTGACATACAATGAATATTTGTCAAAGATATCTCTAGTGTTATTGTTAGATGGTTTCCAAATAAACAAATATGAGAACTTGTAATGCAAACTGTTAAGAGTATTAATGTTATTGTTTAGTTTATGTGTACCCATTTAGAGACATACTAATCTTTTGTGATTTATTGGATAGTTATAAATATAAATTGCTAGTGAGAGGTAGGGTTACAATTTTCTCTTCCTACCTCTCCTATTGCTCTCTTCACATATCTTCTCTTTCTAATGCAATCTTACATGGTGTCAAAGCAAATTCCTAGGGCTTGAATCTTATAGACCTTTTTCTCTCTATCCTCTGTTTATTCAGTTGTTTCTCTCTTTCCTCTGTCTATATTCCTTTGATTTCAAGCCATCTCCTAAAGCCCTTTTCCTTGTTATCACCATTTCAGTGGCAGTGACTTGGTCACCCATCTCTTCCTAATTTGAAGCGTCAAGTTCCTTGTCTGAGTTTTGTGTCCTCTGTATTTTGTGAAGCATGTCAATTTAATAAGCATCATCGTTTATCTTTTAAACTTTGGATTCATAATCGTGTCTCCAATCCATTTGAATTGATTCATTTTGATGTATGAGGTCCATTAAATAATATTTCATCCAATAAATTTTCATATTTTCTGACATTTGTGGATGATTATTCTCATATGACATGGTTATTTTTTATGAAAGCACGTTCTGAAATGCTTTCCATATTCCAAACATTTCGTAAAGAAATCAAAACTCAATTCGGTTGTCGAATTCATATTTTTGCAGTCTGACAATGCTAGAGAATATGGCTCTGGTCCCATTTCCACTTATCTTCGTGATAAAGGTATTATTCATCAAATTTCTTGTATTCACACACCATAACAAAATGGGGTGGCAGAACGTAAAAATCGTCATTTATTGAAAATAACTCGAGCAATTCTATTTCAGATACATGTTTCCAAACATTTTTGGAGTGATGTTGTTCTTATTGTTTGCCATCTCATTAACCATATGCCTTCATCTATGTTAGATGGGCAATCTCCCCATTCGGTCCTTCTTCCGTGGGCTCTCTTATTTCTTGTTCCTCCTAAAGTTTTTGGTTGTATTTGTTATGTTCATAATTTGGGTCCTAACTTTGATAAACTTAGACCTCCATCGTACAAAGTGTGTCTTCCTTGGTCGTTCATACACCCAGAAAGGTTATCGTTGTTATAATCTTACACTTCGACTCTATTTCACTAGTGTTGATGTCACCTTTTGTGAGTCTATACCATATTTTCCTGTTGTCACCTCTCTTTCTCGCTCCATCATTAACTTCACCTCCTCTTCTATTGTCGTCTGTTATCATCCCACACCAGTCACCTCCTCTTCCATTGCCATCTGCTATAATCCACACTAGTCACCTCCTCCACCTTCACCATCACCATCCACTGCAGCTCCATTGAAGGTGTATTCACATCGTCCGAGACCATCTGCTAAAGTGCCCCTACATCTTCCTTGTCATCTTCAGACCTAAGTCCTCATGTTGTTTTGGAGTCATTGTCTATTGCTCTTCACAAAGAGACCTGAACTGGTGCTACTAAACATCTTATTAGTCCTTTTGTCTCTTACGATGCCTTATCCCTTGTTTTCTCAGGTTTTATATCTCAGCTCTCTACTATCTTTGTTCTTGAGACATTATTAGAAGCGTTATTTGAACCAAATTAGAGAAAAGCTATAGAGATGGAGATGGATGCCTTGCATAATAACAAAACTTAGGATTTGGTTCTGTTACCCTCTAATAAGAAGCTTGTTGGTTGTCAACGGGTTTATACTATGAAATTTCATCCTGATAGTTCTATTAAACGCCTAAAAACTCGACGTGTTACTTAGGGCTTTGCTCAGACATATGGGATTGAGTATGATGAGATTTTTTCCCTTGTTACTAAGATTTTCTCTACTTGTGTGTTGATTTCTTTAGCTGCTAGCCTTTGTATATGTTAAAAATGTCTTTTTGCATGGTGACTTGACTGAAGAAGTTTATATGGAACAACCACCTGAGTTTGTTGGTCAGGGGGAGTATCATGGTAATGTGGGTCGATTAAAGAAGTCCCTATATGGTTTGAAACAATCACCAAGGGCCTAGTTTGGTAAGTTTTCAAAGGTAGTTTTAGAGTTTAGTCTCGCCATGTGTCGAACAGATTACATTGTATTACATTGACATACTGGTGCTGGTTACATTATACTTGTTATTTACGTAAATGATATTGTGATTACTGGCAATGATTCTTTTGGAATGATTAAGTTAAAAGTTTTTCTTCAACATCACACTACAAATTTGGAAGAGTTAAAATATTTTTTGGGTATCGAAATTGCTAGGTGTAAGCAGGGTATTTATATATCACTGGAGAAATACGTACTTGATATTCTAGAAGAAGTAGGTTTATTGGCTGATTGATCAGTTGAAGCTCCTATGGATCCAAATCAGAAACTTTTGGTGGACGATGGTGCACTATTTAATATTCCCAGCAAGTGTTGTAGATTAGTTGGAAAGTTGATTATCTTACTATTACACGGCCAAATATTTTATATACGATAAGTGTTGTGAGTCAATTTTTGGGAGCACTTAGAGTACCACATTGAGATGTTGTTATTCTTATTCTTCGATATCTTAAAAAAATCCTGGGCTTGGTTTATTGTATTAGCCCAATGGACATCTTAGAGTACTGTTAAAAAAAAAAAGACATCTTAGAGTAAATGATTTTACACATGCTGATTGGGCTGGATCTCCCTCCGATCGGAGGTCAACTTCTAATTATTGTACTTTCTTAAGGGGTGATTTGGTTTTATGAAAAAATAAAAAACAAACTGTGATAGCAAGATCTAGTGTAGAAGCAGAGTATAGAGTAATGACAGATGTTACGAGTGAATTAACTTAGTTGCAACATTTTCTTCAAGAGATTGGGTTCCTAGCTAAACGTCCTCTACAGTTATTTTGTGATAATTAGGCTGCTTTTCATATTGCTGTTAATCCAATATTTCATGAGAGGATCAAGCATATTGAGTTTGATTGTCACTTTATTCGGGATAAAATACTAAGCGGAAACATTGTACCACCATTCGTGAAATCTGAGGATCAACTTGTAGAAATGTTTACCAAAGATTTGAGTCGCACTTGTCAGATAACTATTTGTTCCAAACTTGAATTATATGATATACATAATCTAACTTGAGGGAGAGTGTTAAGAGTATTAGTGTTATTGTTTAGTTTATGTGTACCCATATAGGGGTATAAAAGTCTTTTAAGATTCATTGGATAGTTATAAATATGAATTGCTAGTGAGAGGCGGGGGTACAATTTTCTCATCCTACCTCTCATATCGCTCTCTTCACATATCTTCTCTTTCTAATGCAATATTTACACAAACATTATTAAGTTCTCTCAGATACTATTGATTGTAAAGGCCTAATTATGGCTTGCGACCAAAACCAATTGCATAAAACAACAAACAAAAGACATCCAAAATCTTTATCCTCACTTTCCTAACTTCAAAATTTTTCTTTAATCTAAGCTTAGCAAGAACAATAGTGCTTATTCAAGTACAAAAAACACCATTTTTGCCTACTGATAGTATGAGTTTGGATAACCACAATACTAATTTAACAGAGGTTTAATTGATAAAAGAAGTGTCATTTGCAAAAACAAGAAAAAAGAATCTTTCAGATATTTTATTCTAAACCAAACCCAATCCAATATATTACAAATCTAATGAACCACAGATCCATGAGAATGAATAAAAATTTTAAATAAAAAACCCTTTGACTCTGTTTCTCGGTTTAAAACAAAGCATCAAAAAAACGAAAATCTACACAGCAGAACCATCAAAATTATGCTTATAACAATAATATATTGCATTGCACATGGGTTTTCTCAAAACATATACTCCCAACTTACAAGCTTAGAGCACAAATAAACAAGAATTCTCAAACCCAGAATTCTCAATCGTACCGATAAAAACTAAATTGTAGATGGGTCCTCTCAAAACCTTCACAAACACACAAAAACTAGTATTCACTACAAATTACAAGCTACAATGCATCAAATAAAGAAAGACATGCATTCTCAGGATCACCAGAATTCTTGTTAGTTAGAACAATTACATTGAGTTCCACAAGGTCTTATGACAATTTTCAAAGTCCACCCATACAAAACTTCAATTCCCTTCGAATTACAGTCTAAAAGCATCAATCTTATAATCAAAATTTCACCAAAGCAGAACCATGAGTCATGTGTCATAACACTAATTACATTCAAATTGCACATTGTGTCGCTACAAAAACTTTCAACCATAAACCTAAAATGAAAAAACAAAGACAGATTTTGCAACAATTAAAAAAAAAAAAAAAGACTATGACCTGTTGTTGAATCCCAGCCAATTCAGTAGGTGACATCGACTCATCTGTTCTTGAGCAAGTCTGATCAACTCAGGATCCATCAGTAGACCCAATAAGTTTCGGTTTATTGGGTCAAAGAGTTTCGGTTTATTGGGTCTACTGATGGTCTCTGTTAATTTGAACTGTGTGGGGGTGGTGCATGAGTGTGCATATATGCGTGGGTTAACTGTAAATTGTACCAAAAGATTCATTCGAATGTCAATTTATGCCTTAAAGATTAAAAATTTTAATTTGTACTTTTAAAGATTAAAAATTTTAATTTGTACTTTTAAAGATAAAAATTTATATTAATGTGCACTCCTAAAGATAAAAAATCTCAATTTATGCCCTCAAAAATAAAAATTTATATGTAACTAAAACTAACTCTTATCATTTTGTTGCCTAAAATTAAATTGATAAATTATATCTA